CTGTAATATTAATATCTACTTTTTGGTATTTGTATACATTAAATTAATTTTATTGGACGGCTAGTTATTTATATGTTTTTGAATTGGGCTACGTTAATTTGTAAAAATTACGAATGAAATGTCATTATTGTATTTATGTAGTGTTGCTGTAAATGTTAAAAAATTTAATTATGGTACGGAATCGAACCGAACCGAACGGAACCGAACTCCAACGGTTCCATAATTATATTTGGACCCAACAGTTCCATTTATTAAATACCCGAAAGTTTTGAGTCGGTTCGATTCTCTTCAGAATCGAATCGAATCGAATCGAATCGACCCGCGGATAGTCCTAATCAAACATCCCAAAAATAGGAACTTGGGTGCAAAAATAATATTTTCATAAAAAATAAAGTCAATCAAATATACCCTTAGTATCTAAATGCAGTGGAAACAATTGTACTTAATTTGTATGAGAATTCTTAAATAGTTCGTGCAAAAGAAGAGATTTTGGTAATTTTTTACAAAATTAATATTTTTTTAAGGATTGACAATTTTTTTTTTCAAAAGAAAAAAACTTTATTTTAAAACAAAAAGTGATGGTCACACTTTATTTTCTTCTTTAAAAGTGAGATCTCCTTATAATTTTCTATTAAAAGTATGAAAACGTCATTAAAAATACCTTTTGCGATAACTTTTTTTTTCCCCTGGAAAGAGAGAGGTATCTAATTATTACAAAACACTTTCTAAAGATTTTAACCATCTCAAGTAAAATTAAATTGGCGAAAATTAACAAAAAAATCAAATAGGAATTAATAAAAAATCAAAAATGCAGTAAATATGACAATGAATAAAGTTCGAATAGTGAATTTCTTTTTCTCTAGTCAAACGTTTAGAAGAAATTGTTTATTTCTAAATTTTAAAAATTTATTTTGACCAAAATGTTAATCAGAATTTAGATTTAATCGTTTGTGCCAAAAAATAATGGGAGAAAGTAATTTTCTTAAAAGTAAAAACAATGTTCTTACCAAAACTAAAATTGATAAAAAAGAAAAATGAGGATAAATTCAGTATAGAAAGAAAAGTGCAAAACAAGAAATGTATATTTGTCTTTGTTTATACAATTTTTTATAAGGCAAGGAGCTTCCGTTTAAAAGTTAAATACAGTTGACCTTAGAATTTGGTGGGACTTAGGTGTCAACAAATCACAACTCCTCTCATGTTCTTTCTCATGTTAGCGTGTACTCAACATGCACACTTGGACACACATGTTAGAGGCTCAAATTGTCGATTCAAGAGGAGAGTACAAGATCGTATGCACTTAAACGCTTAAATCAAATAATATTTTAGATGAGGAAGAAACATGACAGAAATGTAGAAGTCGGGTTTAGACTCAAGATTAGATTACCCTTAAAATGACATAGAAGTTGAGTGTTTATAGACTGGTTGAGGCCTTTTTGACGCCAGTCACGTGATTTTATCACAACAGCTTACATGTCAAGCTTAATGATTTCAAACTTTAATCTTCCGCATCCCAATCCTAGGCGAATCAATAATAATGTGACTGCAAAGCCACCTTTGCAAAGATGTCACACCAATCATTTCGGACAAGGTGTTAAAAGAATGCAACTTGCTCAAGGCCCGGAAGGCCACATTAGTGCTTCCTGGGTTGAGATGTGACAAGTTGTGTCACCTCAATGGAGAATAAGCTTTGTTATTGTGTTCTTAATGTCTCAGAAGAAAGGGGCAAACGAGACGATGGAATTATGGATTTATCGCCTTGGATATGGAAATAAGAGAGGCGATATACCTTGAAATCAATTCGCCTTAGATTAAGAATTTATCAACGCCTAAATATGCTAATAACTTCAAATTTATTAAAATATAGGAGTGAAAATTATTCACCATGTACTAACAAGGAGATAGAAACGATTAAATTCATTAAACCACTAACAACATAAACATTAATAATTTAATTGGCAAAAAAATAATATGAGCTATATTATACCTTTTAACAAAGTTGATCTTTTTGAGAATGAAATTGAAAATCTTAAATATAGTATCAGAGACTGTTAAACTCAAACAAACTCGAATCAAAAGACTTTAAAGAGTACACGAATTTCAAAATTAATGTTCACATATGAGCTACCACCTTGTAGAGTATGTTAAAATGATAAATCTTACATCAATATGATACATACTGAAATAATCATGATCCACCTGGATACTACCACGTTAGCCATGAAAATGGTCACATCGTATGCACACGTGTCATGGAACAAGTATTTATGCTTCGATGGTCGAGGCCAGTCGGACTAAAAGAATGCCTTGACCTCCGAGGTTTTCCTAAACAAAGAAATTTGGTCCTTGTTACTTGTTCGAAAACATGATTAGAGGCCTTAGCCAGAAACAAGAATAAGACCCCACAAATAGGGCTAGGACGTGGACAGAACTTTAGTGTGAATTCTATCTAAATCAACCCAGAAATTAGTGCACTATTCTCTTGCTTGCAAATAATTTTGACTATGCTCAAATAATGAAATTTTAGAAAAGTGTCACAAAAACACTAACATCCATGAAGTTTTGAAAAATGTGACTTAATCATGATTCATGACTTTCAACATAATGTTGAAAGAATGAGATTTTTGTAAGTGACTAAAATGCCCCTAAACGACATATAAATAAGACTATTACACAATAAAAAAGGGATCCAAGATTTCACTCTAAAAAATCTAAATATTGAAAGATCATATTTCGTTAAAAAATGCATTGGATTGAAAGAATATTTCTTATCGAGAAACAAATTCTGACCGAAAGAACGTTGGAATCTCAATCTTTTTTGCTTGTACAAGAAATTGGCTTCTAAACATACCAAAATCCTCCAAAAGAGTGAAAACCCTATCGAAATCGAGGGAGAAAACTCTACAATCAGCTTTTAAAAAAATTATCAATAACGCCAGTTGTGAAAATTCTTAACAAGACCACAAACAATATTCAACTGAAGAAAAGTCAAGAAAAATAACTGGAATCGGGTCAAATATTGATGAGAATCCAAAGAGGAGGAATCAAAGGTCATAAAAAACGACAGCCAACGATCTTGTCGATGGTATTAGTGTTTGATGGTGGAGGGATTTGAAGATTGGAATAAGAAGTGGATTGTTTGGAATTTTAAATGAGGATCTTATACAATAGCAAAGAAGTATTCTTAAAAATTGAAAAATAAAAAAAGTTATATATAACTTTAGAAAAAAATGAAAAATGGTAACCGGTAATTTCCACTTATAATGTTTTAGACCTTGTTATGTTAAAAAGCAGGCTTAGGATTTTCCAGACTGGACCCAAACAACCAAGCCCATGACTCAACCCACCTAGCCCATTATGGACTTCGGCCATTTGGGGGAATGCACCAGCTTATTTTTGACAAGACATATTGGAAACAAGCATGTTTGGGAGTTCATTATAAACAGTTTAAATTATAAGTATATGAAAATGAATGTTGAATAAGTGGATTGTTCTTATAAATGTTATCAACATAAAAATAAAAAGTAATTTTAATTTATAAATGGTGGCCAAACAAGGGATATTGAAACTAAATTGTATCTCGTTGATCCAAATGAGACAATTAAGGTTTATATCTAATTATAATTTTATTGGAGCTTCAGACTGCAGATAATATTTATCCGACTTTAACCCTATTAATATAGTACTTATACTAAATTTCCGTGCCTGGCCAAGGGTTTTGGGCACTGGGATGGGACGTGGCATGGTTGGATGTGAATTAAAATATTTTTGTAGAGATGATATAATTTCTCGCATCACATTGTCCCAACCTGAATCTTTTTATTCTATTTCGTTTTATGTTTTCCATTTAAATTATATTTAAAAAATGAAAACTAATATTAAACAAATAATTTAATGCTTCGATAAATGTAAATATTCGCATCAATAGAGTCAAGACATCTCGAAAGTCAAATAGATAAGAGAAAATTAAAAAATGTAGTAGTCTCGCTCGACATCCAAGGTTTTGTCCCCTGAGTAGCTAGGAACAAAGTAACCTGATCATTAAGTCAAATCACGACGTTTCGAAGTTCATAGTAGTAAAGTCAAGACACCTCGAAAGTCAAATATATAAGAGAAAAAGAGAATAAGAAAATGTGCAAGTCTCGCTCAGCATCCAAGGTTTTGTCCCATGAATAGCTGGGAATCCAATTTATCGAAACGCACGTACACAATCATATCCAATGTTCTAAAAAAAGTAAAACGTGGCTACGCGTGGAGGCCGAACTTCAAACTTCACTTATTTATTTTTATTATTATTTTAAATACTTGATTATTTTAAAAATCATTTAATAATTAAAATAATACATACCAAATATTTAAAATTATAAAATACTATATTTACTTAATAATTCCTACAATTAATCAATTATACAAATTTCAAATTTTTAACTAGAGTATTTTTCATGGTTTCAATTTCAATTAGACAAGTCATATTTAACAGATTTATAGAAACGTTATATATAAATTTGAAATGTCCAACAAAACGATAAGTTTCAAAATCATAATTACATAATATAGATAGTATCGTAGCTTAAATTTTATCTAATTTTTTATCGAATAAAATCATTTTTTACTTTTATACTATAAAATCATTCAGAAGTTTGAAACTAAAGTTAAATAAAAGCATTTTAAAAAAATAAAAAGATAAACTAAAGTCAAATAAAATATTTTTTAAAGAATGAAAAAATAAAATATAATTAATAAAGCACACCTCGACACATATAGACGCTAAGTAAGCGATCGATTTAACAGTTGAGCGCGCGTATATTGTCAAAGTAAAACGTTTTATTTGCGCCTCGTGCCCAAGTGACGTTTAGGAGCGCTATTCAAAATATTGATCCTATCACTTTTTATAACACAAGTTGATCATACCACGTTTGCATACATAACAGTCCACTTAATTATTCTTCAATTTTTGGGGTTTAAAAATACCGTTGCTTTAAATACACTGGTTCTTCACCTTCACCCCGCGCATGCGCTTCCCTCGGGCCAGATTTCAGAATCCCCCGCGTAGTGTTGTTGATGCAGGAAACACATTCTCTTCTGCGGAAGCAATTGACCACTCTAAGCATTCTCCCGGATCACCCGCAAATCATCCTCACGTGACCATTTTCCTCTTCAAAGCAAGTACATAGCTTGCAGTCTTACTCAATCGTGTGAACAAAATGAAAATTGGTATCAGTTTTGTTGCCAAAAGTCCAAATGTAAAACTCTTCATCTTCATATATAATACCCAACCCACTTGCACAAACCTACACACATTGGTTTGTCTCTTCTCTCAAGGTCCAGTTTCATTATTGTGCCACTCATGTCGGTCCCTCAAACTTTGCTTCTTCTTCAACTTATTCTAGTACTTTCACTACATTGTGAGTATCCTCAATTTCTGTTTTACATTTGGAAGTTCTTTTAATTCATTGTTTTTTTTTTATTTTTTATTTTTTGGATAAAAACGTAGTGGGTTATCCTCTAATTGTTAAATCTTGTATTGATCATTATTGAATTTCTAACTTGTTATGTTTTCTGGGTTTTGAATTCTGGGATTTTTAATCGATTTACATTGGCATAGTCCGAGAATTTACTGTGAATTACTAACTTGTAAATTTAATTGTTTCATGTTTTGCTGAAGTGTTACTGATAATTGAGGTTCTTACAGTTTGAACTTTAAATGGTATTGAATTTTACTTCCTGGTAATTCCATGTTTGGAGCGATGTGATGCAAATCTTATGGTAATGCCTTATTTTAAGTAAAATGATGGGATGATATTACTATCCTAAATGAGGTCATATTGTTGGATTAGTACAACAAAGTATAAGATACTTCTCATTCACAATGACGTTACCAAGAAATTTGCATCAAATTCAGATGAAATTCTGTCCATAGTATTTAATGATGTGAACAGATAAATTTGCACCAACACATTACTGATAAAAACAAAATTTATATGTGCAGGTTTATGTGAGTCAATAAGGAGCTGGGAGAATTATCTAGGCAACTCCGACTTAAATGAAATAAAGAATGTTGCTTTTACTCCAAATATGTCTCCAAGTGTTGATCCTCAACCCCTTTATCCATTCCAAGCTCCAACTCCATTGATGCCTTTCACACACAACAGTGTGCCAAAGTTATCAGGTCCTTTTTTTCATGCTTATTTGCTATTAAACTCGTCTGTTATTGGGCAGAAGTTACACTATTCGAATAAACAAACTGCATTCAAATCCTTTTCGTTCAGCTACAGATATTCACTATTTTTGATGATATTAAGAGTGCATAACTTAGGAAGATCTGAATGTACTTTTCGTGCTAGAGCATTATTATCTCAAAGTCTATTGTCAGGATGAATATTATCTAATCCTTGGAATAATAATATCAAAACATTTAATATGATCATAGTAATTTTAAAGTTCTATTAGTTATTATGTAAAATCAAATTATCCTGAACCACTTGTTTATATAGGACTTCCCAGTAATGATTTCTGTGACACTTTTAACAGAAATGCCATTAAAATGCTTTAGACTGATATTGCCTTGTATTTTCAGGGCTTTGTTCATTTAACTTTTCAGCTGTTGAACATGTACTGGGGGTGACAGCAACTGATTGCTGGGCTTCACTTGCTCCATATCTTGCAAATGTGGTATGTTGTCCTCAAGTTGATTCCAGCCTAGTGATTCTTATTGGCCAGTCCAGTATTCACACTCAGAAGCTCGAGCTGAATGAGACTGAAGCAAAACACTGCATCTCGGATTTCCAGCAGATCATGGAAAGTAAAGGTGCCAGTGAGAGTCTTCTCGAGATGTGCTCAGTTCACCCATCGAATCTCACGAAATTATCTTGCCCTGTAGCTGATGTTAGCGAGATTGAAAGGAAAATAGATTCCTCTGCTTTACTGGTTGCTTGTGAGAAAATTGATCCTGCTAATGAGTGCTGCAATCGAGTTTGCCAAAATGCCATATCAGATGCTGCTGAAGAATTAGCTGTAAGGAATTATACTAGGACTGGTTTGGGAGGCACTTCTGTAGTTTCTGAGCAGGCATCTCTTGTAAATTACTGTAAGAATATTGTGCTCCGGTGGCTAGCTAGTAAACTCGATCCCGCTTCTGCAAATAGAGTTCTTAGAGTACTTACTAGTTGCAAAATAAACAAAGGTAGGTAAAAAAACACACTCGGATATGCATCTGCAAGTATTTTGAGTTGTAGACTGAATTTTCTGATCTACAAACCTTTTATTTGGAAAAGAATGAAAATGCGCTAACCAGTCTTGTTCGTTTTTGGTTCCCCTTTTCTACTTTCAGCATGTCCATTGCTTCTTCCTGACGTGAAAAATGTTTCTGCGGAGTGTGGAAATTTAACAAGTAATCAGACAGCTTGCTGCAATGCCATGGACAGCTACTTATCTCAGTTGCAAAAGCAGAGCTTTGTTACTAACTTGCAGGCTTTAAATTGTGCGGCCTCACTTGGCTTGAAGTTGCAAAGAGCTAATATCTCAAGCAATGTTTATACACTTTGCCAGATAAATCTCAAAGATTTTTCCCTTCAAGGTCTGTTTCCTCACTGTTACCTAAATTTATCGTGCTTTTGTTTTGTTGATATCTCGTGCTTGTGATTTAGTGATACTAATCAATAACAAGAATGTTTGGTGGTTCCATTGTGACTTTCTGTTGATCGTGGTGGTGTTTGCCGATTGCATGGACCAGTGGACTCGAAAGGTAATGACTGCATTGTGGAATTAATATCAGCATTATATGTCTCAATTCTTGCTGGTTAACTGAATGTAGTTTTTCCAGTATCTGGTTGTCTTTTTCCAAGTTTGCCTTCCGATGTAACATACGACAAAGCTTCGGGAATCAATTTTATTTGTGATCTTAACGATAATGTTGCAGCCCCTTGGCCCTCGGGTTCTGTTGATTCATCTTCTTCATGCAATAAAAGTATGGGTAGACATGCACTTTCTTCAGCTATTCTTTATCGAGGTTGAAAGCGTTTAGGCCTTAACTTATTTGTTCTGCACCTAATGATTTGCAGCCACCAAGATTCCAGAACCTCCCAAAGCAACGTCGGCACAACTTGGTATGAATGCTAGTTATTTTCAATTTCTTAGGTTTAAGAAGCTCTTTCTTTGGGAATTTTTTGAATTGGATTTGAAAACTTTTTTATTTTTTGTATTCTTACTCTATTCCCTTCAATTCGACTTGTCGTATGCATAAAAATTAGATATTTTGTCATGAGAAAAACATAGACAACTAAATTTTTCGTATCAAAGATCTCAGAGAGTTGCTTCCTAATCCTTCTCCCAATAACTATGATGTAGATTGCACAAAAGATGAATTCTAGTTATAAGATATCTAATGAATCTATCACTAGACTTGAACTCTTATTCGAAGACTTGATTGAAATTTTGTAATTTGATAAAAAAAAATATATAGCAAAACCTTAGATGCATGTTTGATACACACTACAATACTGATACATTTTAGATAATATAATAAACAAGATTTTAGTTTATTTTCTTCCTAAATAGTGTTGATACCCGATACTTTTTAGTCCACCCCAATTTGAGGACCTTTTTGACCACCATTATTTGGGGGAAAATAGAGTTTTGAGTAGTGATTTTGAGGAGAATGTGTAGTTCAAAAGTAGGAAAAAATTTTGGATTTACGTGTATAATATTTTATTGTGTGAATGTGTAGTTGAAAATGAGTACGTAGAATAAAGATTTGAAAATAATGATTGTCGGGCTGAAATTCTAGCTCCGCCCCTAGTTGAGTGTTGTTCAAGACTCCCTAGCAAACATGGTGGTCCAATGGTGGAAATGCATCTATTCTATTGTTGTTGATGGTTGTACTTTTGAAGTTTACTTTGTGGATGAGTCCATCTCTTTGATATTCTTATTTGCTACTCAAATGGTTTGCATGGCAGGAATCTATGTTAAAGATGTGTCTTTTACACTGTGGATCACCTCCTTGATGGTTCTTCGAATGCTTGCTTAATTCATTTGTTGTTAATTTCATTCCTCCATCATTGATCTTGTATGTACAGAATTAAAACTTCATCGCCTCGAGCAAGAATACAAGCTTGAGCAAGAATCCTCAAAAACCACAATTGCTATAACATGGAGCCGCAAATTATTATTTTGTAAATAAGTAATCAATATTCGTTCGTCAGTGTAATCACCTATTCGTGATGTTTTTAAGGTTGGAAATTCTGAAGTTTGTATTGATGTTCTCGAGGGTTGAAGATTTGGACCTATGATTTCGAATTTTACAATTAAAATTTAGCGAAATTTACACGTGGAATGAAGAAGTTGATAAATTGGAAATTGTTGCACTTCTACCCACGTGGCCAGTGAAACAAAATAAGACGCAAAGAATTACTTTTCGAGGTGAGTTGCATGTGCTCCCTTCGTGTCCATTACGATGTGGCCACATACCTTCGCCTCGTTTGCCTTTATTTATAAGGAATTGAGAGCACAGTCCAATGTCTCGTCGATAACAATCTTCAAGACGACATAACTTAGTAGTCTTAGTATAAACTTTTCACTTCTCCTTTTTGAGGCTATTAGAGAAAATCTAACTCTTAGCCGTGGGTTTCTTGAGTTTGAGGCGACTTGGATCTGAATTTTGACACCTCAACCAAGTTGGAGCGTAGCCACAGCATGAATGGCCCAGCCATTTGGCTACGGCCATTGGGGATGATCTGCGTACCCCCTAAGTTGAAAGATCTCTGGATAATCTCAAAAAGACAAATAAAGAGATGGTCTCATTCGAGTGTTCATGATCTTCAAGTAAATGTCAATGCATCCCTCCCTAAGATAGCAGGCCCTCACATCAACCCTGGGCTTTATCCATTCAATATCGTCGTGTGAACTTCAAGCAAATCTTCCTCAGGAACATTGAAGGCCACCTCTGTAGTAGCCCACCATTCCCCCCTCTTATGGCCTGGCTTGCAAAGGCAGAGTTAAATTGTCTCATCCTCGACAAGGTTGCACATTAGAGTTCATCGCCTACAATTTCTTCAAATCAACAATGACTATAACAAGCTACAAAGTGCTACATAAACTGTACATTTTCGGTTTTATGATCTCGCACGAACTATTCTCACCACAACCACGTGCATTTCCTCTTCCCGCCAAAAACAAAAATGTGGAATTATAAATCTGAATTACAAAAATTACATGGGATAAATTCAGATTTGGTCCCTAAAGTTGCATAGAAAATTTATGTTGGTCCCTAAAATTAATTTTTTCTAAATCAATGACTAAAAATTCTTAACAATTCCAATCTGGTCACTCTATTAGTGAGACCGATGTTATTAGAACCGGTCCAATCTAGCCTGACCCAATTCCACCGAAAACGGTACTTGGAGCAAGTGGATTACCTATAAAAAAAACCTATTGTTAAAAACATGACCGAAAACTCGATTAATCAGCAAGTTCAAAGGAAACTGATTATCCACAAGCGTTTTCATCGGGTTCATTGTTTATTTATGAAAAAAAAAAAAAAACAAAAGAAGAAGAAGAATAAGAATAGTTGTTCGTCGCTCTTTTTCTCCAAAACCCTCTCTTTAATTGATCCAAGAGAATTCAAATGAGATATACTGCAACCTTTTAAATTCTGTTCACGATTCTCACAATTAAATAAGGATATTAAATCAGTAATCATCATTAAAAAAAATTAGCCTATAATTGCTTTATTTTTATTGTATAATCATAAAATATATAATTTGTTACTTAATAATCAAATACAATATGAACCAATTTAATCAAAAGTCGGAAATTTACAACACGTAGATTTGAATTGATTATTTGCAGATTTTGGAAAGAAAACTTTGAATAAAGGTGGTTGAAGCAGTCATTGATCTCGTCTGGACTTGATTTGTGCAAAATTTCCTCTTATTATTTTTATTTTGCTCGTTTTCGAGCATGTATTTTTCTGTTGGAAAATCGTCCTTTTTACAATATGCTATTTGCACCACATTTCTTACGGTTTTATCGTTAAAATTGTAGTATTTATATATTTATAATAATTTTTAGAAAATACCGTAAAATTAAGGGTATTTCTATAAGTTCCTCGTCAAAGAATTGGACCAACCCAAGAACCCGTCAACTTTGCGTTTTGAGCCACATCATTTTTTCCTCATATTCTAGAAGTTTGATAAATATTTTCATTGATGTGATTGTCAATTACAATTTTAAATTTTTTGCGAAATAAATTTTAAAAAAAGAAGGTAATTTATAACTAAAAATTACTAGTAAAATAGATGCATAATCATAATATAAGTATAAATTGGCGAGAGAGTATGTAAAAAGTTATAAGAGAAAAGTGTATTCAACTATTTAATATTTATAGTAGCCACAAGAACTCTTATAATTTATATCATGCCTTAATTTTGTAATAAATCGGGTCAGATGGGTTGTTGGGCTGGATAATAAAGCTTGACACGGCCCGATTTTTATGATAGCAGGCTGAGCTCATTTCTATCTGATTTTTAACGAGATGGGTCGTCTTGGGTTTAGACTGCCCGATCTAAGTGATTGTGCTTAGCAGTTGTTACCTTAATTTCGAATCAAAAATCCTACTCGTACAAAAATTATTTGACAAAAAAGTTGACACTCTCTCACATGATGGCTGGCCCCACATGAATAAAAAATTTCAAAAAAAATGTGGACCCCCCATTGTGAGGGGGCCGGTCAGGGTGTGTGTCACCCTCCGCCCGTACATATAGTGTGGTTCTTCATATATATATATATATATTTCTTTTTTTTTTTTTGGGTAACGGGATTGATTGTTAGTGCAGATTTACATTTAAGAAGAGTTGTAGCAAAATTAACAATCTTAAACCATCTATCCTCCAACGGTTGCAGTAGGTGACTCGATAGAGATTGTTCGAAGAAAATAACCATGTGCCATTGAGTTTGACACATCACTAAAATATGGGTTAGCTTGTCTTTTTCATTTTCTGCCTTTTATTCGTATTTGAAAATTTTGTAGGGACAAAAATTTATTCGATCAATAAAAGTCAATACGTCTCGTAGTCAAGTCATAGAAGCAAAATTTGAAAATATAACCTATGTGATTACCATTTTACATACGATAAAATTATTTTTAACTTTTGCAATCACGAATTGATCATGTGCATGTTTACTTGATAAGACGTCTCAATTTGGTATTAATTTTTAACTGCCGTGTAGGTTTAACACGTTAAGTATAGTAAAATGTGTTAATTAAGTGAATACGGTTGAAGTAAATTAAAGTTTAAGGATATGATTGAAGTAAATTAAAATTGGGTAATCCAATTAAAATTTCGATGAATATTGAATGACAACACCCTAGATTTGATAGTTAATAGTTGTATCGACGGTTGGCCAATTGGAATGAAAATAATACTGAGGATATTCCAGGACTTTGCTAGTCATCTCGTCGTATTGTTGGAAATGTTTTACACTAATAACGCGTAATTGACATGGTTGGTACGATATATTAAATTTATTAATAGAAAATTTTGGAATTTTTTTTTTTTTTGTTAATACTATTTATTTTGATGTCATAAATATGTCAGGAATGAATTGTCTTGTTAGAAGATAGTAATATCCCTGACTTAATACTATTTTTCAATGGAAAAATAAAGTTATTTACAGTTTAAAATAAATAAATTCAGAGGGTGTTTTGTGAGAATTAAAATTAGATTTTTAATAGATTGTGATAGAAGTTTTTGAAATGTGTGGTTAAAAATATGTGGGACCCATGAAAAATGTAGTTAATATTGATTGTTTGACTTTGACTTGGATTAAAATCAGATTTTAATCCGACCCAAACAGGCCCTCAACTTCATCAGAACTAACACATAAGTTTTATTTCTTGCATACTTCCAATTCCAAAAGGGATCTAAAATACAAAACTACCACAAAATACATTTTTCGGTTATAAAGCATGCAAATAAAATATTTTTTTACAAAAAAATAGTCAAATTCCTCAAATTTTGAGTTTATAATTTTAAAAGATACCAAAGGTACTTCACAGCATATTTTTTTATATGAATACACCATATTTTAATTAAATTAAAGGTTATTAACTTTTATTCATTATCACATTTATGTCTCAAACTTTTTTATTGCATTCTTACTCTTAAATTAACATAAATTGTTCATGATTAAGATTTCTCATTTCTTTCCAAAATTTTCTTTAAGATTGAGTAAAAAGACTTATTTGTCTGTTGTATTTTTAAATAAGCAAAATCACTAATAACGTAAAAACGAGATTAATTATTTGACCATAACACGTTAACAATATTTTTAGACGAAAATCATGATTAAGGACAATATTTTCTAATTAATAAAATTATAAAAATATTATGCATTTATTTAAAATTGTAGTGTATTTAAAAAAAANTTTATTTAAAATTGTAGTGTATTTAAAAAAAATGGCTAGAAATCCATAGCTTCCAAGAGTCCTCAATTTCCTCCTCCTTTTACAACTTAAAACACGTAATTTTCATTATGAAAAATGTTTCTTGTACATAACTATTTATATAATGTTTTACATAATGATAAGGTTTCTAAACGTAAATGAGGAAGTTATTCGATCGATGAGATTTTGATCCAATTAAATCTCGTCACATCTTCTGTTTGTAAACCATTTTCCATAGTCGGTTGTGCTTATGTGTGTGTTTGGTAGGGATTTTTTGAGGGAAGAATTGATTTTGAATAGTGATATGATGGGAAATGTGTGGTTGAAAAAGAAGATAAGATTATTGATGTGATAGAAAACATTATTTTATTGAAGAATGTGT